AAGCACAGGGACACTGTTACAGTCCCACAGTGGTGTCAGGAAGCACAGGGACACTGTTACATCCCACAGTGGTGTCAGGAAGCAGCAGGAGCTATCATGGTCCCACAGTGTTGTCAGCACACTGTGGGATGTCACAGAAGGGACCCAAGGTGGCTCTGAGCAGCCAAGATGGGAGAGGCATGCCAAAGGTTTGGACACGGCCAAGACAAAGTTTTCAAGTCTTCCCCTCCATTCCCCTCTCCTAAACCCAGCCTTACTCAGGAGAGCACGGATTTACATTCCACATTTCTGCTGCCCTGCAAGGAACACCCATTACCTGGTTCCACAGAGCCCCTTTACCTGGTTCCTATGCCTTGGCCATTGGTCCCAACGAGGGCAAAGAGGGATCGAAAGCCTTCTGGAGTGAACCACTGCAGGAGGGAGAGGAGAAAGGAACTGAGTCCTGCCCAGCCTGCGGCATCACCCCGCTCTGCAGTGCCTCAAATCCCACAGGGAGCTTTGGGGGAAGCAAGGAATGAATGGGCAGATTCCCATGGGCTGTTTGGGAGGCAGATCCACTCACCCTGCTGAGATACTCGTCATAAAGGGCTTCGGTGAAGAGCAACCGCAGCAGCTCCAGCTGGCCCTGGCAGGACAGGGAGCACAGTCAGGGTGAGGAGATGTCACTGTTACTGGGTGCCAGCCCCAGGCTGAGGGCCTGGCCCAGGACAGGCCACAAGGCTCAGGAAGGAGTCAGGCTCCTCATCCTTCCCTGCAGGGCTGGAGGCTGCTGCCCTCACAGCAGCAAAAGCCACTCATTTTAGCAGCAAAAGCCACCTACTCAGCAGCTAAATATCACCCTGGCCCAGCCCACAGCAAAGCATCTCCCCCACAGGAAGGAGCAGCACATCCCATGGAAGCACCACGAGCCCAAAGCCCTCTGAGCAACTCATTTCCTGGCTGTCAGGGCCCCCACTTTAGGAGTGGAATTTCCAGTGCCTCCCATCCCAGCTGTAACAGGGCTTCTGCACCTCTGAGCTCACAGACACAGGTGGGAGAGGGCAGGATTGGGAATTCATAAGCTGCCAGGGTCTTACCTTAAATTTGTCCCCCAGCAGCTTGTGCACAATCTCCTCTTCTTCATTTGCTGTCTTGCTGCAGAACTGGGAGAAGGCCTTGATCCACCACTCCTTGTCTTTAGCCTGACAAGGGAATCAAGCAGAGGCATTGCACCAACCCTGCTTTCCTCCCCAGCCCAGAGGGAGGGAGGATTGTCAGAAAAAACACCGAGAAAGCCAGGCCAAAGAACAAGAGCCTTGGGAATAACATCCACAGCGGGATAACGAAACCACACATGGGCAGCTGCAGCTCCAAACTGCTGACGTACCTGCTTGATGGTAGCGACCATCCTGGCCATCAACATAATGCTGGAAGTCTCTGGGGGATAGTGCATGTTCCTGTAGGAGAAGAATGAAGAAGAGATGAGCAGAGCAGGGCTGGTATGGAAATAAAAAGCTGGAGGGAGGCAGAGGCAGCTGCCATTCGTGTGGTCAGGCCTGCACTAATCCATCGCACCAAAGTGGCCATTGCAGCAACACTGTGTGGGGATCCAGCAGAGAAACCTGCATCCACCTTCCTGCTCCAACCATACAAACAATCCCCTCCCATCCTGTTCACCCTGGGTCCCACACAAGGCCCAGCTGGGGTTTGGGACAAGATTTGGGTCAGGGATGTCGCTTCTCCCCTCTGGGACTGTTTTTTTTTTGCAAGCAGGGGCAACAATTTATCAACCTGTGAAGAGGATCCCCAGAGGCTGCAGGAGCACTATAAAACTGCAGGAATGGGCTTTGTAGCTCTTTACAGGGAGAAAAACAAGGACTACTCAGCCGTGTGCGCTGCCCACACCAACTCACCCAACCAGCAGGGAGAGCCAGGCAGCGTCCCACGGGCATTCCCACCCTCCAGCCACCCCATGCAGGGATGCAAAGCAAGGAGAACCACCTCCTTTGCCCGTGGAGCAACAGGCAGGTCGGTGCCCTACCTCCATGCCTCCTGCAGCTTGTTGAGGGGGTGTGTGGGGTCGTCTCGGGACGGGCCAAGGCAGAGGACCTGGTGGTACTGCTCCAGAGCTGCCTGCCTGCACTCTGCGCTGCAGTACGTCACCTAGAGCGGGGGGACAGCGCCCGGCGTTGGCTCCGGCGGCAGGAAAACGGGATCCTACATCCAGCTGTGCCAGCTGTGCCCCCTCCCTGACCAGCCGGAGCTTGGAAAGGCAGACACCCATCCTGGTGCCTGGCGGGATGTAAAGGACTCGGCAATCCCAGAAAGATGGCATTCCCTCCCGGCAGTCCCGTACCTGGCATCGGGGGCACTGCTGGTGCAGGTCCTTCCGGGTGCTGCACTGCTCTGGGTGAGGCAGCACCAGCGAGCTCTTCCCCAGCAGGCGCTGGGCGTTCTCCTCCGCCGTCTCCAGAGCCCGCAGGCAGTGATCACAGGCTGCAGGGGAGAAGAAGGATGGATGGATGGATGGATGGAGGGATGGATGGATGGAGGGATGGCACAGGAAAGCCTTCGGGAAGGAAACGGACCAGAGCCCCAACATGGTGCAACTGGTGCCACCATCAGTGATGAACAAGCGGATGGAGCTCAGAGCAAACTGGGCTAGTGGAAAGTGTCCCTGCCCACGGCAGGGTGGTGGAATGAGTGGATCTTTAAGGTCCCTTCCAATCCAAACCGTTCTGGGATTCCATAGTGGCACCTGGGGCATCCCCCCGGAGCTGATGGAAGTCACCATCCCTCAAATGACACCTCAGCTTGCCAACGCTTTAGTGCAGAGGCAGAAACGGCAGCAGGGGCACCTTTACAGCATTGCAAAGGCAAACCCAAACCTTTCCCTTGATACCGGGCAGCTCCTTTGGGATCCCGCGGTCACTGGGGCAGGTGACAGGGACACGGCACCAGTACCAGCCGCTCACCTCGGTAGTTGTACAGGGCATTCCAGAGGAACTGGGAAGACACCACCGGCCTCTCCACGAAGACTGTTTCCCCTTTGCGGATGTTCTTGGTGGCGAACAAGCCCTTTCCCTGCCGAGGCACAGCCGTGGGTCAAGGGACGCGCCCGGAGCCGAGTCATACCCCGGGGCTGAGGGTACCCCGCCATCCCGAGGGGACCCTGTGGGCTTCTACCCCCCTTCCCCTCTTTTATTGGGAAGGAAGGGAGGGATCCCCACGGAGCGGAGACTCACCTTGGCGCTGCTGATGAACCGCGCCTCCGCCGCAGCCCCGGCGTGTCCCCCCGCCGCGGCCGCCATCTTCGGGCGGCGACTTCCCCGCCCTGACCCGCCGGGCAGCGCCTCTTCCTCTTCCTCCTCTTCTTCCTCCTCCTCCTCTTCCTCCTCCTTCTCCTCCTCCGCCCCTCAGGGGTCCGCACCCTCCATCGCCCCTCTCAACCCCGGGGCGGGCGGGGGCCGGCGGCCATCTTACCCCCCCCCCCCCTTCCCCCAGCCCACAGCCACGCTCCAAAAACACCGCCAAAACACTCCGAAACGGCGCCGGGGCGCTTCCACAGCCACCCCAAATCGTAAAAGAGTTTTGCTGCCTCTCCCTTATTAATTGTTATTATTTAGTGGTAGAGGAATAGCGTTCGCAGCTCTCTCAGGTGGGACCGCAAGGTGCCCCTTCACAAGAGGAGGTGCCCCCTCACAGGGCGAGGAGGAATCTCCCGGTGCCCTGCGCACCCAAAACTGACCGGACTTTCCAAAAAAAACCTCTAATGCCGCCTCTGTTAATTATTATTATTTTTTTAATGGCAGAGGAATAGCCATCACAGCCCTATCAGGCAGGAACACAAGGTCCCCCCTCACAGGAGGGGCTGCCCCCTCATAGGGAGAGGAGGAATCGCCCACTGCCCTGCGTACCCAAAATTGGCACGATTTCCCAAATAAAAAACACGTTCAAACCACGCTAAAGTGGCCATTCTCCCCCTGCTGCCTCCTGCTTGGTAGTCTGCAAAGCCTAAAATCCACAAAAACGCGGGTTTGGTTGTATTTACTGACTCACATCCCTCAGGCTTTGCCCCGCTCCTCAAGGACCAGGCGGCGGGAACCGGGTTGGGAATTTGGGATGATTCCATACTCGGGGCTTTTTGGAGTGTTTTGGTGTCACTAGATGTCACTGTCGGCTCGTGGCGGGGACACGACAGGGGGTGGCAAGGCTGGAGCTGCCACCTCCATGCCCAGCGTGGCAGCAGCTGGGCTGGACACTGTCCCATTGTCCCGGTAACACCTCTCCAGTCACCCAGCCAGGTGACAAGGGACAAACAGGGACAAACAGGCTGCCAGGGACACCTTTCCTGGCTGTAATGTGGGATCCGGTCCCAGCGAAGCCAGCGGTGGGCTGTGCCAGCCACAGCTCCATCTCACAGTGCCCATGGCAGGGGGCTACAAGGACCGAGCCACAGGTGGATCAGTGCTGCCGTGATTCCTGCTATGATTATATTTTCATAGAATCAGAGAATATTTATGTGGGAAAACCCTTCTAAGATCATAGAGTCCAACCGTTCCCCCAGGACTGCCAAGGCCGCCACTAACCCATGTCCCCAAGTGCCACATCCACATGACTTTTAAATCCGTCCAGGGATGAGGACTCCACCACCTCCCTGGGCAGCTGTGCCATGGCCAGACAACCCCTTAATTTTCCTTAACATCTAATCTAAACCTTTCCTAGCGCAACCTGAGTCTGTTTCCTCAGTGATTTATTCATGGAAAGGATTGTCAGGCATTGGAAGGGACTGCCCAGGGATGTGGTGGAGTCACCATCATGGAAGTGTTCAAGGAATGACTGGATGTGGCACTCAGTGCTCTGGTCTAATTGACAAGGATCAGTCACAGGTTGGACTCAATGATCTTGGAGGTCTTTTCCAACTTAAATAATTCTGTAATTACTCATCCTTCCCTTGTTCCCTGGGAGCAGAGCCCGACCCCCACCTGGCTCCATCCTCCTGTCAGGGAATTGTAGTGTGAGATGATCCCTCCTGAGCCTCCTTTTCTCCAGGCTGAGCTCCTCCAGCTCCCTCAGCTGCTCCTTGTTCTCCAGACTCCTTTTCCAACTCCACTGCCCTTCTCTGAACATGCTCCAGCCCCTCAGCAGAGAAGGTTTGGCCACATCCACCTGCAGACACAAGTCCTTGTTCTCCAGGAGCCACAGCTCCAAACTGAGCAGCCCATGCTCACCAGACACTACCTTTCCTACTGCAAATGTAGTTTTATCTCTGCAGGAACCAGCCCAGAGATAATATGTTAATTACTTTCATCCATAATATTGGGTTAATCAACCAATTAAAGGAAAAATTCTTTACCATGTATTTTGTTCAAAACATTTTTTTAAGGAAAAAAATCCTCAAACGTTTTTGAGAAGGACGAAAATAACATTGGGTTTAACTTTTTTGGTAATAATTTCAACTGAAAGTTAAAGTGAGTAGTTGGAAATGTGTTTTTCGACACCCCTTCCATCTCTCTTTGTAAAACACGCTCGATTTTTATTAAGAAACAAAGCAAATAAATAAATGGCACTTATTGAGGAAAGAAAAGAAACCAACTTTTATAAATAACAATAGAAGAGTAAAGTGATATACAGTGTTCTGGGACAGAAAGAGAAGGAATAAATTATCCTGAGCTGACTGGACGTGGTTGGTACCCTGGGCAGACATTAGTCCTGACCCCTCCAAGCCCTCCCAGCCACCAGAAATCCAGCTGTTAACTACATCGGGCCCTTACAGATGTGCTCCCCGAACGCTCCAGGTGCTGTTTCCCATGGCACCTGGGTGGATAATGAGGAGAGAACAGAGCAGTTGCCGTCTGGGCAGAACCAGCACATCTGGACGAGGGGCAGGGGGTCGTCTGAGGCACCAGAGGTGTTGGAAAGCTGCTTTTTACAGCAGCCCCCGTCCCCACACCTTGGCCAGGGCTCCAGTGCCTCATTCCCTGCAGCACACGGACACCTTGGCCAAGAAAGGCAATGCCAGGAGATGGAGAGACCACCAGGTTCTCCTTCCAGGTTTGGGAAGGCAAAAAAAAAAAAAAAGGCACAGATAGACCAAGGCACTGCCAAAAGGAGGCACTTCTGCTCCAGGGGTAGAAAGACCCTGATCATCTTATAACAGGAGCGTTGTGGGTGGGAGCAAAGGGCTTTCCAGTTTTGGGGTGTTTTTGGTTATGATCTAAGCATCAAACAGGGGAGTCAAGTTAACCAGGAAAAGCCATCAGGGAGAATTGTCACCCCCAACATCAGAGACATTGATTGTCACCCAACCATCAGAGACACCCTCTGATTGTCACTCTCTGCTTGAAACTGTGTCCTGTGGACAGGAGATCACCTGCCATCAAGCACAAGCAGCCTGGTGAAGAAGCCCCAGGAATTACAGCACGTGGCTACCGAAGAGCAGCCAAATAAATTTGGGGTGGGCTTCTCCCCACCAGCTGCATTTCAGTCTTGTAACTCCAGCTCTCCGAGAGGGTAATGTATGTCTCTCTTGGACCAAAGCAGCACAGACACATCCCCAGGCATCAAAAACCAGCAGTGGCAGCTCAGTCTCAGCTGCTCAAAGCTCCACGTCCACGGTGTCCTCCTCGTGGTCCTTGATGTCCGTGGAGTCGGCGGTCGCAGGCTGGATCACCCCAAACTGGGACAGCTTTGCCGCCTTCTGCTCCATGCTCTGCTTCCTCCACTTGATCCTCCGGTTCTGGAACCACACTTTCACCTGGCGGGGACATGGAACGGCTTAAGCCGAGGTCTCCAGGAGCACATTTCCAATGCCACATGCTTCCAAGGAAGACGTCCCCAAAAAGAGTTCCTTAAAAATGGGGACGTGCCCTTTCTCTGCTCAGGGAATGGTGAATGAGAGGAGGTGACACTGTGGAGGGCAGAGCAGTGCTGGGAATAGGATCAGGAGAGATGGGGATGCAGCTGCACTGAGGAAACTCTGACCAGGAGAGTGAAGGAAGCAGCTCCCTAAGGAGCCACTGGACCCATTCCCAGGACTGCAGCTGCCAGAGGGCATGATGAGACCCCAAAACATCCCCTGTGCCCCCAGAATCACCCTGGCTTTGCTCTCCTTTTTCCCCAGCTGAATTTAGACCCCACCACGGAAGATCACCCGCCACCTCCTTTCCACAATAAACGAGCAGCTTGCTTTGGGAAGGGCAGGAAAATAACGATAATAAATAAAAGGACACTCAAAGCACAGACTGTCCCCAGAGGACCTAAACAACACAGATCCATGAGTGTAACCCAGCTCCAACTCTAAATCATAGCGGGTTTGTGCTCCTGAATGCTTTTTGTTCCGCTTCGTGGATTAAGAAATATCACCCATAAACCACCCAAACCCATCCCTCCAGGCACATCCCTCCCGTGCCATCTTGCAGCAGGGAGTCCCACGGGTCACTTTGCATCGTGTCCTCCTCCCGCCACACTTCCCGGCGGGAAAACCGGCCCAGAACAGACCCAGGATTGATTGGTGCCACCCAGTTCTTGCCCAGAGCAGACCCAGGATTGATTGGTGCCACCCAGTCCTTACCTGAGTCTCCGTGAGGTGCAGAGTCGCAGCCAGGTCCACTCGCTCCGTGCCCACCATGTACTGCTGCTTGAGGAATTCCTGCTCCAGCCGCTCCAGCTGCTCTGGTTTGAAGACAGTGCGGACCCTCTTCATCTTGCAGGGCCCCCCCGACCTCCAAGACCCAACAGGACCCAGAGAGTTGGTCCCGACACAGTGAGACAACTCCAGACCTGCAAGAAAGCAGCGAAAATTGAAGGGGTTTTCATCACAAGAGCCGGGAGAAAGTAGCACCAAAAAAAGCAGGGATGTCCCTGCCCTGTCCCAACCCAGATAATCTCATCTAGGCTCCCTTTCCCAGGAAAGGTTGGAGCAGATGATCTTCTGGGGACCTGTGATTTTACTCTCAAGTGCCACCTGGACATGCAGCCAGACCCAAAGAAATCAACTCCCAATGAGAGGAGCAGGATTTGGCCTCCACCCACACAGGATTTTTGTTGCATGATAATAAAATCCATCGAGAGCTGCAGAACACAAAAATCCCATCTCTGTCTCAAGAAGGCCCAAGTCACGAATGTCTAAAGTTTGGGGGATTTTACTGTAGACTGGGCCCTGATTTTACCCTTCCCTTGGCACAGGGAATCAGTGTCCAGGACCACATCCTGCTTCCCTGGTCCCAGAAAAGTTCCCGGTGTGCAGAGGAATTAGTGGATCTGGTCTCTCGTCTCCTGTCTAGCAGTGGCCTGAGGATAATTATAATTACCATAAATTAACATACAATACAACACCAGGGGACCAGCTGGCACCTGACTGAGAGCAGTGGCT